AAAGTGGGTGACAAAAAGTGCGAACACACAGACACACACACAGCCTCTTCCCAATATGCGTTTTTGTAATTTACATATATGCAAAACCGCATAAAAAGCATAATAAATGCTCTCGGCCCCCTAGTTGTTCCGTTAGACACGCGGAAACTAATACCTACAGATTTGAAACTCTACAACAAAAATATCAGCGACAAGAAGTTCTTTGCACTTGCTACAAAGCAATGTGCGAATCATGTGAATCCAAGCTTCAGCACTGAAATTAAACTTGTTTGAATTCGACTCAGCTCGGCTCGGCCCAGCAGGTTTTACATGAATTGCAAAAATTTTTTGTTGCTGATGGCGGGTAGGATCATCTCACGGTGGGCGGAAGGGGATGGAATGTGACACATGGAGAGGGAGGACAGTGTGGTGCGAGTTTCGCCCGTGGCGAAGGACGAGGGCTGAGATGGGTGTATTTAATTGTTATATGGCTATTACTAAAATTCGGCTCGCCGCGGCAGTTGCACGGTTTGCAAATATACCCGCAGACCCTGTACTGGGAAGCGATGAGAGGGACGAGGGGAGGGAAGAAGTAGGGAGCTATTGTGCGAGGATGATGGCTGCGGGGTTAGTGGCTTGCGAGGAGGGGTAGTTGGGTGGGAAAGTTGAGTGGCCACGTAGGGGAGAGGGATGATGGGTGGAAGAAAGTAAGACCCACGCTGCTGGTTTTGTGCGGATGCGCGGAATATGGGAAGGTCTTGGGAGGGATGCACATTGCAGAGGGCATAGAAGGGAGAAGGGAGGGGGGAGGGGAGGGGAGGGGGCGAGGGTTGCCACACTTTTGGGAGTTGATTTCGAGACGCGGGGAGGTGGATGTGATGGGGACGGAGGAAGGGGTGGTATGTGCGAGTTTCGCGCGCAGGGATTCGAGGTGGGATGGGTACACTGAGTGGCTACGCGACGTAGATCCTTTGACTTTTGCCTAGGCCACTTAAGAGAGAGGGGAGGGGGTGATGGCTTGAAGGGAACAAAGCAAGGAAAAAATACAAGCGAGAAAGAAAGTAAAATCAAGAAAAGCAAGCGAAAAACCCATCACCATTAGGGGACACCCTCAAACCTGCCTATAATGCTGACGCTTACTAGGAGAAAGCTAAAGCGAATAAGGCAAAGCTGATGCCTAGGTAAAGCCCCCTCCACTTCCCTCCCCTGGTAGTGAGTGCTGAGAGCAGTGGGCGAACAAACTCGCCCCCGCCACTCAGTCCGTAACCCGCACACTCCCTCCCCCCAGTAGCGAGAACTGAGGATATTGGGCGACCAAATTCACCCCCCACCACTCAGCCCGAGTGAACCGGAGATATTGAGTTTTGTGCCCAATAACTGGGCTTATATACGGGAAGAATATGGGCGTGGCCAGGATAGGAGCTGTATAGATGACCACAATGCGCCTACCCCGATACATTATATTTTGATTTCACCTTGATAACTGTAGGAGCGCGCAACTACAATAACATTTTTTTTGTTCTGAAGTACAGCACATCACATATGCGTGACCTCAAAAGCCATAAAAATCCTCCCCTTCTACTTTACCGACTACGGTTTCCTCGGTGCCACAAGAAAGTGCTAAAAAATGGGAATAGCATGATGTTTCCATTTACACGACGTATCCCAAGCTTCCGCCAAAGCACCCTCGCCACCTCCGCCAATCTATCCGCCCAACCCCTTTCCCCGTCCCCACCCCTGCTTCAAATCTTCGCCTCCCTAACCCACACACACCACCTCCTCCTCACATCACACCTCGTCTGCAGCAAACCCGGTCCAGTGCCGCACTGGGGCAAGGACACCCGCCGCTGGTACTACATTGAAACTGCCGCCGTCCGCCGCGGGGCAACCCTACCTGCCGTCCGGAAAAAAAATTTTTTGCAGACCGCGTACGAGACGAGCCGAGCCGTGCCGACCCAAGCCGGGTTTTAGTAGCTGCCGATTTAGTAATTACATGCTCAAACAAACATAGGGGTGGCGTACCAGTGGGTGGTGATGCTAGCCCGGATATTGCCGATCTCACACTGCCAGTAATGGAGTATCGCTTCCTTCTTAAGAATCTGGGGTTTCATTTCCATCTTTTCCGATATATCGATGATATTCTAATTTTCAATTGCGCCAACTTTGGTGAAATTGCCAGCAACATCTATGGGCCCAGCCTACAACTCAATACCACATACTCTGGACACCACCTGTTTCTTAGATCTCGAAATTTTATACAAAGATGACAGATGCATCTTTAACATATACAATAAGACCCTGGACTACTCATCCACAGTTAATTGCGGTGGGCACCGTGATAGCGATATGGACCATATGGTGCAAGAAGGTGTTGTTATATCACAACTGCTTCGATATGCACGCAATTCCACCCTTCCAGATGGGTTTCTTGGCTGGGCTAGACGTGCTATAAATATCTGCAGAAAAAAAGTTTGATACTGCCAAAGTAGAAAGGTTGCTTCCTCATAACTTCTGTCCTAAGATTTTGCTTCGGGAACCGATCAGTACTGAGGAAATTTATCTACCCAAATGATGCAGGAATTAAACACCTAGTTATTACGCTATCCTCATGAAGGTTGCTTCATCATAACTACATAGAATTACTACCCGTTTCATATGTTAGTTTCCTCCCCTTCTATCTGCTCAATCACTCTTACTACTTTCAGGCTAATACACTTTTTCTCCTTCTCCCTCCTTTGTTCTTCCACATATCCGTCTTGCAAATCAGTTACATGTCCTTTCAATACATGGCGGATAGAAGGCTGTACTGACGATTCCCACTCCTAGCCCCCCTCCTTAGTCCGATCTGTGTTTACAGCTAAGGGATGAAACACAGAACGCATCGTAAAATATCACCTTACTACATGTAAACGACAAAGACAGTTTGCACCATAAAATATCACCCTGCACATGATGCCTGAATCCTTTTGGTTTATTATTTCATAAGTAAGGAAGCTTTAGGTAAGCGAAAAACCCGTTATCAGCAAAGGACTTTTCCATTTATGAAACTGACGCTTAGATAAGGCTTGCGTATTTATGAAGTTGATGCTTAGGTAAAGCTCAGGCGCCAAACTGCTGATGCTTAGGCAGGGCTGAGGGATCAAACTGCTGGTGCTTAGGTAAAGGTGAGAGCTCGCAGCTTTACCTAATCATCAATTTTACCTTATTGGCTTTCAGCTTTCTCTACCTAAGCATCAGCTTTGTGAGTGGAGATGTCCCCTATTTATGGCGGGTTATTCGCTTGCCCTTCTTGCTTTTACTTTCTTTATTGCTTGTATTTTTTTCTTTCTTTTAGTTTCTTTCTTGCCGATACTTTCTTCTTGCTTTTATTTTCTTTCTTGCTGGTTTTTTTTCTTGTCTCCCTCTTTTCAAACCATCACCGTTTTCCCTCTTCCTTAAGTGGCCTAGGCCAAAGGATCTACATCACGTAGCTATCCAATCTATTCACCCAACCCGTCCCCTTTGCCTCGAGCCACATATCACTCCTCTCTCCCCCCCCC